AGAGCAATCTATAGTGGCAGAGTAATGTACAGAATGCTAATAGTAGAACCACGTTCAGAAAAACAAAATTAAATCCGCAAGACTATATCTCGTTTTCAAAAACAACTTTCTGTGCGTTATCGTGTATGAAAACGGCCAGGAAACTATGGGCCGCCATATACGCTGATTCTTGCCGCTCGTTTTGCTTGCACACTCATACGTTTGAATGCAAGACGGAGTGCAGTTGTGCTGAAGTCGCTAAACTCTATACATATGTGCGTACCGCCGATTGTTTGGCATGATTACAATCACCTCCAGATTGATTTTTCCGTCCGTGTTCCAACTATTGCCGTTGTGAAAATGTCGAAGTTGATACGCGCAAGCAATCTTCCATATAAAAAGCCGGATTCAAAGTCATCGTTGGGAGATTCTCCAAGAAAACTGATCGAACAAATTATATGCCGCCGTGAATTCTATTTTAAACGTCTTTATCCATCGATGACTAACTCGATGTTCTAACTTCGACTCGCTTAGAAAATCGAAGCGACTTCATTTAGTACTTCATAAATAATGCAAAAGATTTTTGAACGAATTGTTCAACAGCGACAACGGCTCCATTCGTAAACCAATAGGTTGCGTAATGCGATCTAACAGCCTCATACAAGATCATTATAGCCAGAAAAATCGGTCCGATGTTCATTTAAAAAGCTTACTCATAAGCTTCCGGTAATAAAAAGCGACTGAACCGTGCAACAAAATAATAGTCGCCGCAGCCACAGCTGATGTCCGCGTATCAGCCATGTTGCCTCTGATAAGAAAACTGTACGTGAAAAGGTAGTGTAAGTGGACTCGAAAGTGTCCCGGCTTGCAAGAACCGTGAAGGTAAAACGAGCGGCACGAACCATGGGATCGGTCGTGTGTATGGCGGCCCTTGGAGGTATATGTTGGGCAGCTATGCACTCTCTTATGCTTCTCGAACCACTGTGCTCCCCGAAGTTGTGTGTTACAGAAACGTTACGTTTCGGTTGTGTTACAGAAGAAGGACGTTGCGGCAACGTTACCCTTGCTCCTCCTCGGCGGCAGGACCCTGTTGCGCGATGCAGAACACGTCCGTGGTCGACATGGTGGCCCGCCAGTCAGCACTGTGCGCACACGATCACATATCGACGTCCTCGTCGGCGACGTTCCTCCAGGTACGAGAATTCTTCGTTGTCGACGCGGATTCGGTAGGTCCACGTGCGAACGCCAGCGGAATTTCGTGCACTAGTCACATACGTGGCTGCGTCGGCTGGCGCCCGTCAAGGCTACCGCCGACTGATGTATGCAGGATCAGGCAGACCGGTAGCGCAACAGGTTGTCCGTCCACGGATTTTCCACGAGTCGAACGGAAAACGGCGAAGAGCGACGCACGGCTGCGACCGACTCACTGCGGTCTCGTGTGGTATCACGCCGCACCTTCGCCGCCGTTCCCTCTACCTGTGCACGCACACCGTTTTCCATTTACCTGTCTTCAGTCGCGTGCGTGTACAGGCAAATCTCTTTGTGTGCGTACACCGGTCGTCGACGAGACGCGCGTTCCTTCTACCTGGCCCCCTTACGCACGCCGCCAACTTCTGTGCAGATATCGAGGATCATATAGCGTGCCGGCATTTCACGGGTGTGCGTTATTTCTGTTTCTGCGACCGTACGCACGCACCGCGCTTATGCCCCCCAATGATTTGTTCCCAGCTATTATTGTTACGTTACGTTCTACGTTAATGGCAAAACCATCAAGGAGAATGAGTGTGTACGAGACGATCGTCTTGCGGAGGTATTTTGTTGTTCCCTTGTTCGGTGAATCTTGGAGCTTGATGTTTGGCCCGTGAATAGTGGATGTTTCGCTACTGCAGAGTCCGCAGTGACTCCACATCCGTTTGTGTTTATAATGAATAGTTACAAAAGTATTGGTATCCGCGAGATCCATGACGTGTTCACGAGACAATTTCAGCGTATTGTTTATCGAAAAAGACGCCATACTCGTAATAGCTGTCTGCTCCAGTCTTACGTTGCAAGTCTGTGGTAATATCAGTAAGGTGGAGAGCTTCAATGACGTTCAATGTACGTCAGATATCTTTTATTGTGCTTTCGAAGCTCCGGGTTGTAGCTGGTTTCTTTGTATTGTAATTCTTGTTTATCAAAAACTGTCTCAGAATGCTCTCATCATCAAAAACTCGGAATGCTGTCTGGCGAGTTGTGTCATAAAATGAAAGGTTTCGCTGCAACTGTACTTCTGCATAATTAGTCTATTTAAATATATTAATCATATCGTTGTATGGTGTAGTGTTTCGCTTTCAGGGCTACTACTTATGACCAATTAAGCTATCCGGGTCGCCGACGATTTTCTCTCTCTAAATCCGTAGAACCTAAACGTAAACACACCATATACCTAAAAGTCGGCTCGATGTATCGCATACGTCGACTTATTCAAAATAATTATCGAGAATATGTTAACGAGAAACGATTTTAACGATTTTCATTTACTGAAATTTTTCCCTAATAAACCCTAACGGTAAGTAATCTTTACGAAAACTATCGATAAATCTCAGATATCAAATGTAATAGCAAAAGTTTATTATTATATTATTATTATTATATTATTATTATTATTATTATTATTATATTATATTATTATTATTATATTATTTAATTAATAATTTTACGGATACTTCATTCAAACTCATTGATCTTCTTATTGCACTCTAGTCAATGGACTCCAATTTGAATGGATCACCAAGAATATATGATGCGTTTGTAACGTTAGGCGGCAAATCTATGCTCTAGCTAGAGCCCTGCTACTCACGATCGAAGTTCAGATTGGACTGTTCAGTATAATATAGAACTGTCTCAACAGGTTCTTCGCAGTTCTGTATGGTTCAATGCGTAACGTTAACGCGCAGCAAGACCGTGTTGCACGACACACGACACGTGGCTCTCGCGTACTCTCGTTAACTCAGGTAGATACAGTGCACCTTTTATTTGCATATCGTCCTGTACACCGAGGACTTTTACGAAGATAAAACACTGACTTTTTTCTTAAATCAATCTCTCGCGTGTGTACTTTACTATCTCTTTAAGATGATTTAAATAAAATATAAGAGTTATTATGATTTTGTGTAATAAAACTTCCCATGTTAAAGTTTTGGTTTGTAGTAACATATATATATATATATATATATATATATATATATATATATGCGTGTGTGTGTGTGTGTTTACCTCAATCTTTTGTAATTAAGTAGGACTTAAAATTTCAAGAATAGCAATGTTCTGCATAATAGCAATTCTGTCATTCTTTTATTGCAATTTAATTTTATAATTTACGACTTAAATATATTCAATAAATAGTCTGCTATTATATGCAACATAAAATAACGGGAGTGATGTTGCAAGAAAGTAACATCAAATTATATATATTATTTAACTACAATTTGCCCTACCTATAATGGAATCTTTATTTACACTATCATTTAATGACAGAAAAAACTACCAGATAAAATTGTGTTATTCTATTGCGTATTAAATATTGCTGCGCTCCGATTTTTTAAAATGTTTCGAATATGGTGTATCCTCCTTTATCTTCTGGACGATAGAAAACAATGGAGAAACGTGACTGTAAGTACTACCTGGCAACACTGTCTCTAAGTGGTATCTTGAAGTCTTCGATTTACGATGCCCGATGCCAATAGAACCGACAAGTTTTGTCTCTGCAAGGATACTTTTTGGTATCACTCTCTCCGGGACCTGTTTTGTTTTCTTTTTCACTTATGTATGCCTATGTTTGTGCAGGAATGTATTACGTCTTGTAACAGTGCACGTTCGGATATGTTTCCGTTTACCTGTATCCGACTCGTACATATTCTACATATATGCATTTGTGTAATGATTTATACATTATCTACAGACTGTAGACTGGTGATGGTCACCGGGAGCTAAAGTACATGTTCGTGCTCAATTCATTGTCAATGACTACACGAAGAAACTTCAAAACATTACAAAAGCTATCTTATTCATCAGTTTTATATATCCTTCAATACAAAAACATTTTCAATTTTCATTATAACACGTTGTTTGCACGTAGCTTCTGCTTTCATTATTACACACCAAATGATATATCGATGACCATGAATCTAAAGGAAAACTCAAAGTAGATTTATGGTCGTGAAGAATTGCTTACCATCTTTTTCATATTAAGAACTGGGAACTTGGTACATATGTGGGAGGAATGCGAACCTGATTAATCATCGGGTAAAGATGTCTTCATTTTTGTTTGAAATGGTACACACGTTATCGCTAATAAGATATAAAAATAGATCTAACATTCGATTTATCTTCGTGACCCAGTTCATTAAGGCATCAGTGCGCTGCCGCCATTTTTGTATCACCGACAACGTCATCAACAATATGAAATTAAAATCATCTGTTGGTATTGTTTACCTAGTAGCTTAATAAAATTGTCACGAGTGGCGCCACCATCCAAGAAATTGTTTTATGTGTGGAGCACCCATCATTTTTATCATTAATTGTTGCGAACAAATATATGTATTGATGAAAAGTTATAATTGCAATTGTAACATGCAGGTTAGTATTAAAAGTATGGTTACTATATATTTAGGGTTGGCATGGGCAATCCAGAATTTTTAATTTTATCCAGAACTGTACAAAAATTTGAACGTCAAAATTGAGACAAAACAAATGATTAATTTATAAAAATAAAAATGTACTATATATGTATTATTTTTAAATAAATTAGACCGTCTTTCAAAATATAATAATACGTAATAACATTACGTATATAATCTAATCTTATAATTATGCAAAAAACAAATTTTAAGTTAGAATATTTTATAGTTAGTTAGAGTGCGATAATTATCACTTAATAAATTTTGGGTTCTGAAGGCATTCTCAGTTTACATTACGTCCGTCATCGTGAGCCATACCATGCATGCCATTTACTATTTGTCTATATCACCGGCAAAACATGGACTTAACCTCAACACGTTTTAATGATTACGCTACATGTGATATGTGATTGATGCTGGATAATTTGTCTTTTAATCAATTAAAATGAAGTTTAAAACATACACGGGAATCACTTGGTCCTTACTGGAACTCACTGGTCTGCTCGAAGACGAAGAATCTCGTGTTTACTATGAGAAATCTAAAAAACATTTTGGTCTGCATCCATTCCATTTGACGAATTTAAATGCATCATTGAACGAGATATTAAGTTCGAATTTAAATTCTTACGATTCTGAGTACGTATTGAATTTACACAATTTTTGCTATAAATTTACGAATTTGTTATTTTCACTACAGTAACCTTTAAGTATGAAAAAAGAAATACTCTGAATTTAACCACATCTTGTTTTTTAATAATGTTACTTTTTGTATTTATTGAAGATTAAAAGGGTTTCTGTTGGCATATCAAAACCCCAAATTATTAACACCATTGGGCGAAATATTTTATGATACATGTTTCATTCATATCGATGTGGAAGCAGAGTTTTATATATTTAGACCAGAAGTGGGATCTTCCATAAAAGGTAAAATGCTACATGCTACATTATTATGTCGCTTTAATTTGCACAATTCATTATTAACAGATATAGATTTATAGGAATTGTAAATAAGAAAGGTGTCGACCATATCGGAGTCCTTGTACATAAAGCATTCAATGTATCTATTCCAAAGCCAGATGATCAAGAAAACTGGTTGGGCGACAATCTTGAGATAGGTCAAGAAGTAAAATTTGTAGTAACTTTTCTTGATCTTAATAGTAAATTACCATTTATTCGTGGTAATTTAGATCCAGAGTAAGTAATAAAATATTAGGTCTACCGGAAAGTTCTGTCCGTTTAAGAAATGAAAGGAAATAATAGATTTTTCATAAATTTAGTAATATTTATTGTACAATATAATTTCCGTCGTTACTTATGACCTGTTGCCAGCGTGATGGCAATTTGTGAGCAACATTTTTCAAAAATATATGTCTCAAATGAATATGTGCATATCTATTGAAATTTGCAATGACGTTATCAGACA